GGGTGAGCTTTAGCCTTGCCCATTTCCACTTTGCCTCTTTCTACTTCCTGTGCCTGCTCCGAATGACTCCTTTCTGCTGTCTCCTGACATGCCTCCCCACCATGATGGACTCTGACCCTTTGGAACCATAAGCCAAATAAACTCTTCCTTCTATAAGTTGCCTTGGTCATGGTGTTTTATCACAGCAACAGAAAATATAGCTAATATGATATTATTCCACCCCATATAGATTACTTTCCCAGTTGCTGTGATAAAATATTCTGACAAAAGCAACTTAAGAGAGGAAGAGTTGATGTGGGTTCACAGTCTGAGGTGCAGTCCATCATGGTGGGACGGCATGGCAGCAAGAGCGGGAGGCAGCTGGTCACATGGCATCCACAGTCAGGAAGCAGAGAGATGGACGCTGGTGCTCAGCTCACTTTCTCCTTCCAGGACCCCAGCCCAGGGGGCGGTGCTGCCCACATTCAGGGAGGGTCTTCCCACCTCAGATCTAATCTAGATAATCCCTCAGAGGCATGCTCAGAGTCTCCTCTTCCAGTAGCTCTAAATCCTGCAGTGGAGCTGATCATCAGTAGTAACCATCACCCTAGGGCTGCAGCACCGTTTGTCTCTCCATCTACCACTGGGCTTGCAGTTGGAGGCTGCTGAAGATGCCTTGGACACTGCATGGAGCCTCACGTGAGCATCGGTCCTCAGCCTGTGCAAGAACCTAGAAGCACAGTTACTGTATGGTGTCACTTAACATCATAACTGTTTTGCCTACAAGTTTTACAAATTATAGGATTGCATTGAAGCCTATGATCCTCCTTGAGTTGGTTTTCATATATAGTGTGAGGTATACATGTAAATTCTCTTTTTAAAAAAAAATATTTTTATTTTATATGTATGAGTCCCTGCACGTATATAAGTGCACCATGTGTGTGCAGTGCCTTTGGAGGTCAGAAGAGGGTGTCAGATTCCCTGGAAATGGAGTTACAGATTGTTTTTAGTGGGTGCTAGGAACTGAACCCAGGTCCTCTGCAAGAGCAGCCAAGAACAGTTGAATGTCTCTCCAACCCCTTCCTATATTTTGATGAGAGTGTCCAAGTTTCCCAGCATCTTCTGTGCTGTTCTCAACACCAGCTGTTACCTGTATGATTCATTTCTAGATTCCACTTGTGGCACTGTTACTGTGTTCATCTGTTTTCCAGTGACACCTGTTAGAATTACTGTAGATTTATACCCAGTCTTTAATTATGTCGTGGAGTTTGTTCATTTTTTTTTTTTTTTTGAGATTGCTTTGACTCTTCCAATTATTCTGCCCTCCCCTGTAAATTTAAAATCACCTTTTCTATTTCTAAAGACTATCTCTGTGTTTGGCAGGTTTTGTATTACTTGTGAACATCAGTTTGGAGAACAGTTCTTATCTTCTAATCCATCAATATTCTCCAACCCTCTGTTTGCTTAGTGCTTTGATTTCAGAGCATTGTAATTCTCAGAATATAGATCCAACACAATCTCAAGTTTATATGTATTTCATGTTTTCATTGCTACTTTAAATGGGACGTGTGTGTGTGTGTGTGTGTGTGTGTGTGTGTGTGTGTGTATGCAGGGGGATGCACGTGTGTGTACAGGTGCACATACCTGTGTGTGCAGGTGCATGTGCATGTGTGTTCACAGGCACATTGAGGCAGGAAGTTGGTCTCTGGTACCTTTCCACAGGACAAGTTCTACCTTGTTTTTTTGGTTTGAGACAGAGTCTCCCTGTAGCCCCAGCTGGTCTAGAACTCACTGTGTAGACCAGGCTAACCTCTATCTCATGGAGTGTTCACCACTGCCTCTCAAGTGCTGGGATTAATGGCACAGGGTACCATGTTCAGCCATCTTGAATTTTTTGAGGCAGGGTCTCTCCCTGGCTCAGGGCTCACTGATTTGGCTAGGCTGGCTGGACAGTGAGTCCAGGGAGCCTCTCGCCCACAGGGATCTATCTGACTCAGTTTCCTCAGCACTAGAATTTCAAGTGCACACCACCATGCCCAGCATTTTTTTTTGAGATTTATTTTATTTTTTAATTATGTATATGTGTATGTGTCTGTGTGAAGGTATGTTGCATGTGAGTACAGGTGCTCTCAGAGGGCAAAGTTGTTAGATCCCTTGGAGTTGGAGTTAAGGGGTTGTGAACCCTCCAACATAATTGCTGGGAACTGGACCAGGTCCTCTGGAAGAGCAATACTCACTCTTAACCTCTGAGCCATGTCTCCAGCCCCCATGCCCAATCCTTTTAATGAAGATTCTGGAGAGCAAACTCAGACCCTCATGCTTACACACTTTAACCCACTGAGCCATCTCCTCAATCCCTTAAATGACACCAAATCTTTTTCAAATTTGTTTGCAATTATTTATTTCTTATGTTTAAAAAGATAATTGCAAAACAAGAATTGATTTTTGTGATTTAACCACATAGCCTTCGATCTCCCTAGCCTCATGTAATTCCAGGAGTTTTCATTGTGTTGACTTGAATTTTCTAAGACAGTCACACTGTCTGTAAATAAAGCACCCTGCCCCAGTCTGTTTGCCCTCTGTGTTTTGTCTTGTATGAATGCATGGGCCCAGCCTTCCAGAACAGGAACACTGAGGGAGGTGTCTTTCATCCTTCCCTTTCCCTGATCTCAGGCAAGCATCTCTCAGCCCATCATCTTAAATGAGATCTCACACGCGGGTTCTCCATAGATGCTCTTTATCAAGTTTACGCTGTTCTTTTAAATTCCTACTTGGCTGAGAGGGTGGGTCTTTTTTTAAAATCACGATTAGATCTTAAAATTTATCAAATGCTTTTTCTAAACCTATTAAGATTGGTTTTCCTTTATCCTGTTTATTCGGTACTTTGCCAAGATTGATATTCTAATATTGGACCAGCCTTGCTTGTATAAGATAAATCCCACTAGGAAAAAATACATTATGATTTTCAAATATTGCCAAATTTGATCTTTTAGTATTTTCTTTATTATGTTTTGAACTTGTACTCATAAGGGATAGTGGTCTGTAAGTCTCTTTCTTTGTTTTTTTTGTTTTTTTTTCTTGTAATGTTATTTATTTGGGTGTCTGGGTAATGATTTAGAATTGGCTTAATTATTCCTCATATTCTCCTTGGAATTCTTCAGTGAAACAATATAAATTCTTACCTTTATTCTATATTTAAGTATTCTTGGTTTTGCACCAGAAGCTCCCAAGGAGTCCGCATTTAGCTGCCTTAATAGGGTTTTCCTAGCCCAATTGCACACTGGCCTGTTCCTCCCCCCCCCCCCCCCCTTGGCCCCTTTCCCCCCCCCCCCCCCACTCTGTGTCCTCTTCCGCCCTCTGCTCTGCCCCCTCCCTTCTGTTGCTCTTCCTTCTGGTCCTTCCTCTCCCTCTCCCCTTCTCTGTCCTTCCCTCTCTCCCTCCCCCTTCCCCTCTCCCCCTTCTCCTTTCTTTCTCACTCCCCAGAGCAGACACCCTGTGAAGACAAGTGTATCACTAGACCCCACAGCTATTCAGTAAAGGAAAGAATCAACCAAAAAGCCAGAAACAGTTTTCTCTCTTGGCAAAGAAAAACTAAGGTTCTAAATGAATAAAAAAATAATGCATATAAGGAAGGGTGTGATGGTTTTGACTTAATATATAAAATAGCTTAGCTGAGAGCTGGGACGATGGTAAATGAGCCAAATGTGTATGCTTCACCAAGCACAGGGACCTGAGTTCAATCCCCAGAACCCGCTTCTAAAATGCAGGGCATAGTGGCTCATGCTTGTAATCCCAGAGCTGGGGAAGAGGGGCCAGGTGATCCCTGGGGTTCCTTGGCCAGCCAGACTAGCCTAATTGGCCCTCCCAGATCCCAGCAAGAGACTCTGTCTCAGAAAATGAGGTGGATAGCTCCTGAGGAATGACGTCTGTCATTGACCTCTGCTCTCCACACGCATGTGCACCCGGACAAACACACACATGCTGTTGCGTGTGTGCATACATACAGAGAGAGAGAGTGGGAGGGAGAGAGCAAGAGACAGACAGAGAGAATATTCTAGCTTCCTTTTCTGCTTCTGTGGTAAACACCATGACCAAAAGCAGCTTAGGAGACGAGAGGATTTACACTTCCAAGTCACAGTCCATCAGGGAGGGAAATCATGGTGGGAATTCAAGGCAGGAACCTAGAGGCTGGAACCATAAGAGAATGCTGCCTGCTGGTTCACTCTCTGCCTTGTGCTTAGCTAGCTTTCTTATTTTCTTTTTAAAAATTATTTATTTAATATGTATAAGTGTTTTGCCTGCATGTATGTATATGCACCACATGCATGCAGTGCCCAAAGAGGCCAGAAGAGGGTGTTATATCCCTTGGTCCTAGAGTTATAGATAGTTGTTAGCTGCCATCTGGGTGCTGGGAACTGAACCTGGGTCCTCTGCAAGAGCAGCCAGTGGTCTAAACTGCTAAGCCGTCTCTCTAGCCCCTTAGCTAGCTTCTTATACATCCAAGACCCACCTGCCTAGGGATGGTGCTGCCCACAGTGGGCTGGGCCTTCCTACATCAATCAAGACAGTCTTTCACAGACATGACCACAAAACAATCTGATAGATACAATTTTTCAATGGAGGCATCCCCTTCCCAGGTGTGTCAAGTTGACAACAAAAACAGCTGTTGGGGGGCGGGGGTGGGGTCGGACACAATGGCAGATGGGAGGCAGTTCTAAATGAACCCTTGCTTGAGCATGGCTCCTTCCCTCTTTGATCCATGGGAAGGCTCCTGTGGGATGAGAAGATGGTCTAGTATCCTTCCCCACCTCTGCCTTAAGGAACCAATTCTTCCACAATGAGAACTGGTCCATTTCTCCCTTGTAATGCCCAGATTAGCATCCAGAAACATCCACCTCCCATCCTCTGCACTGTGATTGCTCATGAATCCTGAGTGGCCATTGAGGGCTCCTTTTTGTCTCTTCTCCCCATGGTGCCTCCTGCCATTGGTGGTGCTGTCTTCTTCAATCACATTGGAACAGTGCCTACAGCACCCCCGCAGAACGTGCAGGCAGAAGCTGTGAACTCTACCACCGTGCAGTTCCTGTGGAACCCGCCCCCTCAGCAGTTCATCAACGGCATCAACCAGGGATACAAGGTACCTGGCCTGGGTTTGGTGCCTCTGGTTGGGACTAATGGGTGGTACTGGTCTGGTGTGTACCCTTTCCTGTGTCATGGAGAACCCAGAGCCGCAAATGCAGAATGTCATAGCACTGGTAGGAGGACCATTTATCCAGTATTATCAGCTTTCCCACTGATAATTTGAACCATCAGTTTATGATAGGGCATAGAATAGGTTGTGGTCAGAGAGGCCATTCATGTTAAATGACCTGGGGGGAGACTGGGGAGATGACACCATCACTACAGTGTCTACCACACAAGTACGAGGCCCTGAGTTTGATCCCTCAGAACACATGTAAAAAAAAAAAAAAAAAAAAAAAAATCAGGCATCTTGGCACATTCCTATAATCCCAGCACTTGGGAGACAGAGACAGGTGATTCCCTAGGGCTCTCTGGTCCAGTTGGCCTAGCATAATCAGTGAGCTCCAGGTTCACTGAGAGACCCTGTCTCAAAAAATAAGATGGAGAGTGACAAAGGAAGGACCTGATGTCAGCCTCTGACCTCCACATGCATGTACACAGAAGAGCCTATACATGAGCACCAGCATCACACACACACATACACTCACACACACACACACACACACACACACACACACACACACACTCACACAAAGAGCCTGGGAGAGATCTATGTGGGCTCACTGGAGTTGGTTTGTGTCTAAAACACTTCTTTCTAGAAGGGTGTCCTCTGGGCAGACTGTAGTCAGAGTCAAGGGTAGGGATGCACAGGAAGGGAGCTTTGTTCAAGAAGGCCAGTTCCGTCTCTGCTTCAAGGAAAGTTCTGCTTAAAGAATGGAGACTAGGGACTAGAGAGATAGCTCAGCAGTTAGGAGTGCTTGCTACTCCTCCAGAAGATTAGAGTTCAGTTCCTACCACCCATATGAGACAGCTCACAATGGCCCATAACTCCAAGGGGATCCAACATTCTTGACCTCCACATCCATGTGCACACATCCTCACACAGACACACATAATCAAAATTTTTTAAAAAGAATGGAGATAGCCAGGCGTGGTGGCACACGCTTTTAATCCCAGCACTCGGGAGGCAGAGGCAGGCGGATCTCTGTGAGTTCAAGGCCAGCCTGGTCTACATAGTGAGTTCCAGGACAACTGGGGCAACAGGGAGACCCTGTCTCAAAAAGGCCAAAAAAACAAAAAAAAAAGAATGGAGATAAGAAAGGTTCAGGGTACCCAACCTGAATCTGTTCTGTGGTAACATGGGTTTAGAAGATACATATTAAAGAAATGTAGTTTGGGGACTGGAGAGATGGCTCAGTGGTCAAGAGCATTGGTTGCTCTTTCAGAGGACCTGAGTTGGGTTCCCAGCACCCACATGGTGGCTCATAACTATCTGTAATTGCAGTCCTGGGAGAATCTGACGCCCTCTTCTGACCTCCATGGGAATTACACACACACACACACACACACACACACGCAGGCAAACACTCATGCACATAAAATAAAAATAAGTACACCAAAAAAAATTTTTTAAAGAAATGCAATTTCTCTTTTTTTGCCTCAACCTCTCCTGGTTGGACGTGGAAACCTGCCTTCGCTGTGTGAGGAGTGGGTTCAGAAATTCTCATGTAGGAGAATAGGGGAGCCTCTTGAGAGAGAGGCTCCACCCCCTTTGGGAGACTCCACAATACTTTAGTTTCAAAGGGTGTCAGTTCCTGGCACTTGCTTTATTTATTTATTTTTCCATTTGGGTTCGACTCAAACACTTGTCTGGGCAGACCCAGGTAGAAGCATGCCCCTTCTCTGCTCCTTCTTCAAAGGTATCTGAAGTTACCCACTTTTGAAGGAAAATCACATTGACCAACCCAGATACTCAGGCCCTCTTGACTTTTCTGCCAGGTCTGAGCAGCAAGAGCACTATGTGTATTTGATTGCCAGTGTGATCTGCACCGATGTGCTCTACATCCTGCAGGCCACCAGCTCTCAAAACCAATCAGTCCTGGATATGGGCACTGTTGAAAGACTGAAATTCAACTTTCTCTGGGTTTTTTTGCTTTTAAATTTTTTAATTTATTCTTATTTTATGTGTATGAGTGTTTACTGCATGTACATAAGTGTACTACATGCATGCAATAACTGCAGAGGCTAGAAGAGTGCATTGGATCCCCTGGAACTGTAGTTACAGATGGTTGTTAGCTGCCATGTGTGGGTGCTAGGAACTGAAACCAGGGTCTCTGCAAGAGCAGCCAGTGCTCTTAACTACTGAGCCATCTCTCCAGCCCTGTGTTGCTTTTTTCTTTAAAAAGGATTTATTTATTTTTCTTTTATGTATATGAGTGTTTTGCCTGCATATGTGTAAGTGCATGTGAACATGCAGTGCCTACAGAGGCTAGATACTTGTGTTTGTCTCCTCATACTGATTAGTTGAATTAACAGATGATGTGATCTCACCCCTTACTGTTAAAAATAACACATGCCCAGAGTCATCTTAAGTAAAGAAAAGGCAGAGGTTTGAGGGATTTTTCCCTTACTTTAGAAAGAGTTAAAGTACTTATTTCATTCACACTTAGGAAGCTGAGGCAGGAGGATCACAAGTTCAAGGACAGCCTGGGTTACAGGAACAAGTTCAAGACCAGCTTTGGCAACTTACTTAAACCCCTGTCAAGATTTTAAAAGTTAAAAAAGGAGGGGGCTGGAGAGGATGTAGCTTAGCCTTACAGTGCTTAGATAGAATCTGCCAATGAGGGGCTAGGGGCAAGGCTTAGTGGTAGAGCACCTGCCTAGAATCCCCCAGTGGGAGGCCAAACTGTGGCTCAGAGATAGGGTGCTTATTTAGAATCCCCCAGTGAGGGGCTGGAAGCCTGGCTCAGTGGTAGAGTGCCTGCCTAGCACATATAAGGCTCTGAGTTCCATCCCCAATACCAAAAGAACAAAAATATCAGTAGACGTGTTTATAGACTTGTTTATGACCATGCTTTGTTTAAACACATACTACTTGCAAAATATAATTTTGACAAAGCAAAGAAATGCAATTTAAAAGGATCTTTTCTTTAACCCGTTCCCTACCAGCTTCTAGCATGGCCAGCAGATGCCCCAGAGACTGTCACTGTAGTCACCATTGCACCCGACTTCCACGGAATCCACCATGGCTATATAACCAATTTGAAGAAGTTCACAGCCTACTTCACATCAGTCCTGTGTTTTACCACCCCGGGGGACGGGCCTCCAAGTGCGCCTCAGCTCCTGTGGACCCACGAGGACAGTGAGTCTTCTTCTTCATGTGTCTCCTCAGAACCCGAACCCCCTAGGCCCGTTGTCAGGAGATCCCCACCACTGTCACCGGCACTACTGGGTTTGTGGAACCCCTATAACTCAGTGTGCTAGCAGAGGACTCATTTCAGCCAGTGCGTCCCTGGCAGTATTTCCTGGCTGGTGGTCCTTAGACTATGGAAGGAGCCTTTGTCAAAAGAAGGGGCTCTGTGGAGGCAGCCCTGCAGAGGGGTAGTCCCCACTTCTTCAGTCTTGCTGAGCTTGGTTGGCACCTCAATTTTTAATTCTAGTCCCCTCACTTCCTTGCTTGATTGCCACTGGTGCATCCACACCCCCTCTTTCTGTCATGTAGGGGGCCTTGCATGGGGTTCCCCCTCTGCCCTTGACTGCACTGCCTCCACCTACTCGGCTCCCATTGGCTCATGCCCTCCCCTTGGGCAACTGACCTGACGAGGAAGCACTGGCCTGTGATTGTACCCAGGGAGGACCCACAGGCACATCAAAATCACATACAAGGGGGCACATAGCTGGACATGAGTGTACACACCTGTCATTCCAGCACTTGGGAGGCTGAGGTGGGAAGATTGTGCATTCAAGGCCAGAGACTGGGATTCAGAGCAAAATTTTCTCAAAAAACAAAATAAACAAAAGCCCAAGGAGGCTTATTATAGCTTTTATAATGAAAAAAAGAAATGAAAAGCATTAGATGTCCCAAATGTCAACAGTTGGAGGAAAAAGTGGAATGGTAACCTATTTAGTTTCCTGTTGTTATGATAAAAGACTCTGGCCAAAAGCTACTGGGGAGGACAGGATTTATTTCATCTTACACTTTCAGATCATTGTCCATTAAGGGAAGTCAGGGCAGGAGCTCAAGGCAGGAACCTGGAGGCAGGATCTAAAGCAGAGACCATGGAGGAACGCTGCTTACTGGCTTGCTCCCCTGGCTTGCTCAGCTACCTTTCTTATACAGCCCAGGCCCACCTGCCCAGGGTGACACCACCTACATAATTAACAATTTAGAAAATGTCCCACAGATATGGCCACAGGCCAATCTGATGGAGGAACCTCAATTAAGGTTCCCTCATCCCAGGCAACTTTGGTTTTATCAAGTTGACAGCTGAAAGTAACTATGACAAATACATTTATATATCATTTTGTGACTTACTGGTACAGGATTGTATGTGAGTATGTGTGTGTGTGTGTGTGTGTGTGTGTGTAAGTCAGAGGCTGACACCCAGGGTCTTTCTCAATCACTTCACCTCATTTTTAAAGAAGATTTATTGATATATAGTTCATGTGTATGAGTGTTTTGCTTGCATGTATGTAACTGTACCACATGCATGTCTTTAGGGACCATGGGAGCATAAGAGATCCCTTGGAACTGGAGTTACAGGTGGTTGATAGCCACTGTGTGGGTACTGGAAACCTAACGTGGGTCCTCTCTAAGAGCAGCCAGTGCTCTGAACCACTGAGCCATCTCTCTAGCCCTCAATTCACCTTAGTTTTTGAGACAGAGTCTCTCACTCTACCTGGAGCTAACAGCTAGGCTGGCTGACTCATGAGCCCCAGGGATCCACTTGTCTCCATCTCCCCAACACTGAAATTATAAACGTGCCATACCACACCCAGCTTTTTCTATGTGGGTTTCAGGGGTATAACTTGGATCATGGGGCCAGGGAGACAGCTCAGTGATTAAGGTACTTTAAGTATTCAGACCTACGTTGGAACCCCACAAGCAGGGTGGGTGTGGAGACTGCCTGTGGTTCCAGCCTCAGAAGGCAGAGACAGATTCCTGAGCAAGCTGACAGGCGAGACTAGGCACATCAGCCATCTCTCTGTTTGACTAAGAGGCCCTGCCTCGGTGAATAAACTAGAAGAGCAATTGAGGATGATTCCCACCATCAGCCTGGGGCCTCCGCATGCACACTCATACACACAGATGTCCAACACCCTCAAATAGACATACACACACCTGCACACACGTCCACGTACATGAAACTGGAAAAAAGAAAAAAGTACGGTAACTAGGAAAAGAACTTAGATCCTTGTTCTCGCAAGGCCAGTGTGTGACCACCTGAGCCATCTCCCAGCCCTTGATCACCATTTGTCAACGGGCCTATCTGCGCCGTTTAGAAACATGCAGCAGGCACACGAAGGGAGACTGAAGGTGAAGTAGAGGAGGCTCTCCAGGTGCCGCTTTTATGGGAAAAGTCAGCTCATATGCTGGTCAGGAGGCCTCCGCCGTATAGTGAGGGTTTAGCTCTGCTGGCTGCAGGTGGGGCTTTCTTTTGCAGAGCCTGCATAAAATGGGAACATGTTGGGAGAAAGGAACAGAATATAAACTGAGACCTAGACATTACCAGTTAGAGTGTTTGGGGGCAGGAATCCAGGAAGCAGAATCTCTGCTAATATAAAAGGAGCAGAGCTTTCTCCACTACTACATCGACATCGATCGAAAAAGAACAAGCGGTTCAAAAAGCTGTCAGAATATCTTTTTGGAAGCTCACGAGGCGGGGGAGGGGGAATGACACGGCCCTGACAGCCATCCCATTGTACCATCTTCCACTCGAGGACAGTGGCGTTTGTCAGACTCTTTGAGCCCCTCTGCAAAGGCTCCATAGATCTCGTCCCAGTGAGTGTGGTCGCTGAGGCTGTACCTGTTTTAGAATTCACACATTGTGTTAGCAGCTTTGTCACTGCTCCAGTAGTGAGCGAGGTGCTGAATTCACTTGAAAAGCTAGGTGCATGTGGGGGAGCTAGAACAGCGGCTGAGACCTCCTCTCCTGCAGGACAAACAAGACCCCAGGTTTCACCCAAAAGCCATCAGCCAGGCCTTTCCCACAGGTTCATAAGGGGGCCCAAGGCATGGCCACTTTGGTAGGAATGCTCCCTGCCTGGGCAGAGCAGGTCCTCCCTTGAGATATGTGTGGAGAAATGTATTACCTCCTCTGCACCTTCTTCACATTTGAGACGGAGCTGACAGTGTGGGCCTTTTCATGGTATATTCTTCGGCCTCTGCCTGATCCTTCAAAATCACTTAGGAGAGGACTAAGCTGAAACCAGATTTCTGAGTCAGGTTAGCAAGCACTGCCCCTGGCCCTGGGCTCCCTGTTCTGGTTTCCCACAGGCTGCATGGTACCACACAACCCAGTATAACAACTCCTCTCACTGGATCAGAAGCAAGTGCTTACTGCTGAGCCACACCCTTAACCCCTCACTGGGGGATTCTAGGCAGGTGCTCTACCACTGAGCCACACCCCAGCCCCTCACTGGGGGATTCTAGGCAGGTGCTCTACCACTGAGCCATGCCCCTAGCTCCTCACTGGGGATTCTAGGCAGGTACTTTACTGTGGAGCCATGCTCCCCACCCCTTAGTAGTGTTGGGATCTGTTGGTCTACCAAGCAATTGATGTTCAGGTCCAGGCAGCTGGATTGTTCTACCGAACTGGATTAGGGAGAGAGATAGAAGGAACAGTGCCTGAATCTCCTGTGGTCACTTTCCTCACTTCCCTGTGAGGCTTTATGGAGCGGGCAAAGTAACATATTCAAGGATTAGCAGGCACTTCACAGCAGGTTGCTTGTCCCGGCTGTACACCTCCTGCTGCTTCTAAACTACAGGCTTCTGTTGACCCTGCCTCACCACTTCCTTTCCATAGTTAAAGGTGTCCACACAAGTTTGATCAAAGAGAATGGAGCACTTGTGTTAATGGACATCATTGTTTTTAATTGGTAGAACCTGGAGCTGTGGGCCACCTGAGCTTCACAGAGATCCTGGACACATCGCTCAAGGTCAGCTGGCAGGAGCCACTGGAGAGAAACGGCATCATTACAGGTAAGCAGCCCTTCTGGAAAGGGGAAGTATGCACTAATAGCAAAGGGCGGCCTTTGTAGCAAACAAACCTGCCAAGAGAGGACCCAAGCCTGCTGAGAGTAACCCAAGTAGCAGCCATAACCCCCACCCCTGGGGGGAGGCTGCTCTGAGGTAAGGCTCCTCAGAGCCGGGAGTTTCTCGCCTGTATTTCAGAAGCCTCAGAATTCTCTTTGATCACTGAGAATCGATCACTTTGTGGTGTCTTCACTCGTGTTTATCTCAGAGTGATGTGGTAAGTACTGATACCCGGGCCATTTTACAAATGTGGAAACTGAGGCTGAGAGAGGGTACATCACCTTTCCTTCAGTCAGCAAACATACCTACTATATACAGGTCCATTTCTAATGCGCTGCTAACAGAGCAGTAGCTGAAATACTGGCATCTCAACCCTCAGCCTTCTATCATTAGTGACAAGTTCAGAATAAATCCCTGATCTCCTGACTTCAAATACCAGATTCTGTCCCTTCTCCATCATGCCTTGAATAAGAAACATAAGGATGCTAGGTAGGAGTTCTACTGCTGAGCCTCACAAGCTCCAGCCCCTCACTGGGGGATTCTAGGCAGGAGCTATACCACTGAGCCATACTCCAAGCCCCTTACCTAGGGGATTCTAGGCAAGTACTCTACTACTGAACAACACCCACAGTTAACTGCAGCAAAGAATTTTATGAACATGTTAATCTTTCAAGCCACTTCCATTCTTTTTTAAAATCTTTTTAAATAAAGAATTGAGAATTTCATACATGCATATAAGGTGTTTTAATCAAATTCATGTGCACTCCCTCCCCTCCAACTCCTCCCATATCTCCCCATCACTTTTTTCTGATAACTTCATGTACTCTTTCTTCTTCTTTGATTTATTTTTTATGGAGCTTTTGGCTACTT